TCGATCGGATGATAATGTAGAGGAAGAAATCAAGCTTCTGGAAGAATTGGACGATCTGCGGAGAGATGAGGAGAGGATGTGGAGACAACGTTCCAGAATCCATAAGCTGGCTGAGGGTGACTAGAACACAAATTTTTTTCATAACTCAACTATTTCCCGACGTCACTACAATCGAATTCTGGGTCTGAAAGGACATCATGGGAACTGGATTAAACAGCCAGCATTGCTTGCAGCCCCATATCAAAGAAGTTCTTTCTACACATGATCGGCACGTGGCATACTTAGTTTGGCAAACAAGGTAAGTCTTTCAAAATAACTTTTTGTTATAATTCATTAGTTAGATAGATTAAACGTTAAGATTTTACTAGGTGAACTGAAATTATAATTAAGTATTATAGTAGTGTTTAATATAAGTTTTGTGCATTATAACGTGGTGCTCAACTTTACCATCTTCGAGGTACAACCAATTGGAATCCACTTTATGAGTCGTACTTGAATAATGCAAGTTTGCTAAGTGTTAGACCATTGGTCACTATGACCACCGATGCATGCATGATCTCTATGCTCATGTTTAACATTGACGACCTAAGACATCGAATTTTCACTTGTCGTTCGGTGAATCTACGATCACTCTAAGGGATTGTTTGGATGAGAAATTCTAATGTATCAATCTGATACAATTGTCTCGTTTTGATAAAAATTGGACCAGATTAATCCATTTGGCAACATAAAATTTTGGATGAAGTAATTTTACTAGAAAATTTTAAATGGACTCATTTTGAAGTAATTACAATTGTCTGGGGGTGGGGCAGGCAATCCGAACTACGATGTAGAGCAGTCTAGCAATTGACGATCCTTTCATTCTAGACCAAGGTTGTCAACCCGCGGGTCGGCCCACACCCGATCGAGCTAGTGAGTTAGGGGTGGGTCACCCAGTTTAGCCTAGTTTAGCCCGAAAATATGGAAATTAAGCAGTAAGGCTTCGCTTCCTCCTTTCTCCCATGACGTCCATTTCAATTCAATACATATAATCTCTGGCCTGTGTTAAGATTTTTCACTCGCTGTTTTGCTTGGTTGGTGTATTGTGTTTCATATACGAGGAGGAGGTTCTGAACCCGAACAGGAAGGACCTTTCTAAACAACAACTTCTTAGAAACGTGTGAGCAATCTACTTCGCGTTACCACCTGCCAAAATCAACCAAACCTTTACCAATCTAGTTCGAACAACAGAAAGAGGGAGGAATATCAAACTCGAGCTAGAGATGGAGACCCGATCCGACCTGAAGGCAGAGGAAGATCGAGCTCGAGCTTTCGACTGGTCGGAGGTAGAAGGCGGCCAAGCTCGAAGTCAAATTGATTGAAGGACGGCCTCGAGCGGATGCGGGAGCGGAGCGGGAGGTAGTTGTCGTCGACGAAGGGGAACTTTCTGGCCTGGGGATGGCGATCGAGCGACGCTTGTGGAGCGGGAGACAGGACTGCGCCTACGGTAATGGAAAGGAGAGGTGGAGACGATGAAGGGTGTAGGCGGTAGGGTTTTCTTTTCCAGACCAATGCCCTCCGCCTTCTCCCAGCAAAACACGACGCCGCATAAGTCTGAAACGACGTCTCAGAAGAAGCAACCCGATGACCCGCTCTTCCGAGCTAACCGCCCGGGTTTTCCGGGTTTGACCGGGTCTGAGCTGGATGTCAAAAGGGTTGCTATGGCCCGTTTTTTGTGCGGGTCCGGGTTAATCTGGGTCGACATGCGACAATCTTGTTCTAGACATTAGGGTTGGGAAACAGTGCGGTCAGATACAGATCATACCATACATACGGTCGATGGTCTAGACCGAGAGGCTGAAGTATAGACCACAGACTATACAGTCTGGTCCAGACCACGCCTGTGCGGTCTGGTTCGGTCTGGCCTGGTCCAGATAGACCACACTCAATGAAAAATGAATAATTTGTTTAGTCAATCACACAAAAAATTAAACCAATAACCAAGAAAAATAATTGTTATTTACCTTAAAACATTAATCCTAACATGCATGAATAATTTTGATACCCTAAATCTTAGTACATAACAAAAATACAAAGTAAAAGCATCTCAACTTGCACTATAACGTCATAAACATTAACATAATGTCATACGGAGACACGATTATCTCTACTCTCTAGTTAAATATGGTTGTGAATGAAGGAGGGAAGAGATTCACAAAACTAAGGTTGAGACTTGGGTGTCGTTGTGGGAGTTGAGAGAGTGTTCGAATGGGTTGTTAACATGTATTGACAAGTCGGTTGGGTCCTTGGTTTGGTCCGATAAACCGCGGTCTAGACCAGACCAGATCAAGAGATCAAAACATAAAATAATACAGACCATACTTAACCGTCTATGATCCGGACCAAACTATACGGGTCCGGATAGTATAACAACACTCTTTTTGTTGTTATAATAACAATAGGATTCATTAAGGGTAAAAGGGTAAATTAACAATAAAAATAATAAATAAAAATAAATCCTACGCATTTTCTCGTTCGCTCTGAACCACAGGCGCTGGATCTCGTTTCTTCTTCTCCCATGCCGACCCTGAAAAATCAAAACCTTAACCAGCGTTCCAACTCCATCGTCTCTCCATCGTCACTCAAATCGCGAATCAACCATCGCAGGCGTCGAACAATAGGAGTGGTTCGTCTCCTTCACCAATCTTGCTGACGGATTTTGACAAATCGACACTGTGTCGCCATCAGCAGAGTAACAGGAGCCATGGATTTGTTGAGGTCGGCGGAGGAGGAATCGACGATGGAGTTGGAGAGGCCGGGGGAGGAGAAGAAGAATCGCTGGGAGGCGTAGACGGTGGCCAAGTCAAGCTCGGCGAAGGATGAGGTTGAGGAAGCGGAGGAGACCCGCGGCAGCGACGTTGGGGGTTGGGTTTCCTCGAGAAGGGAGTTGTAGCTTTTGAATAGATTTGGGATTGGACGGCTGTGATCTTCTGGTAATGGCGGGGAGGGTGAGGCGCGTGATCGGCAAAGACGCGGCGGCGGCGGCGGGGGAGGATCTCCCTTCTTATTGTCCGCTCGGTTTACGACTGTTAGCTGTGTTTGTATGAACAACGACTGCAACAATGCCACACCTCTGCGTTCGGAAGTGTGGGTGATAAGCCTAAGGCTTGAAGGAGGAGGAAGAAGTACTGATGGTAATAATAGTAAGCTGGAGATCAAAGAGATCAAGAGAGAAGCTCTGATGAGTAGTAGAGGTAATAGTAGTGGTCGTGGTGACAAACATAAGATATTGATTGGGAGAAGTGTTTGAGAAGATCGTCATCATCACCACCACCAACTGCGTCAACTGATGGATACTCTGCCACGATTACTGGTTCGAGGCAACGTGTGAAGAGAGCGCCGGCGTGGGAATCTTGACCATGATGATGATGTTGTCAAGGTGAAGAAATCCGGCTAGAAATATTGAGCCATGCAATTCGCAAGTGGGATTGATGTTTGTTTTGGAGTCATCTATCTATATTGTTTGTGTGGGTTATTGAAAGGATTCTCGTGTTGTTCGTTTCCATAAATAATTACATCGTCTTAGTGTTTGTATGGTTTGTGTTGAACCATGTACAACATGGAGAAGATACTTGAGCGCTATGAGAGGTATTCTTACGCTGAGAGGCAGCTTGTAGGTGCAGCTACTCAACTTGATTTGGACGAGATGTTGTTACTTATAATGCACTCATAAACCTGCCAATTGCCATCCACAAACACGGTAAAACAATCCACAAAAAGCGTACAAGAAATCTCACAATCCATACCACAAATCCCCTAAAACAAACAAAAAATCTCACAAAGCATACCACAAATATTCCGAAAGCACACCAGAAACCACATAATGCAAACCACAAACCTCCTAATGCAGACCAAAAATATATTAAAACAAACCAGAAACCCCACAAATCAAACCATAAAATTTTCGAAAGCACACCATAAACTTCTTAATGCAAACCAGAAACACAATAAAGCAAACCAGAAATCTCCTAATGGAGACCACAAACCCCACAAAGCAAACCACAACATTTGCGAAAGCACACCAGAAACTTCCTAATGCAAACCATAAGCACAGTAAATCAAACCACAAAAAAGCAAACCATAAACGTCCCAATGCAAACCACAAATATATTAAAACAAACCAGAAACCCCTCAATGCAAACCACAAAGTTTTTGAAAACAAACCAGAAACTTCTCAATGCAAACCACAAACACGATAAAGCAAACCAGAAACTTCTTAATGCAAACCACAAACACGATAAAGCAAACCACAAAAGCATACAAAAATATGAGAAACCAAACAATAAATCTCACAATGCAGACCATAACATCCGGTGGTCGTTGGCCGTTGACCGGTCAACGAAGACCGTCAGTGAGTAGATTCCGGCGCCGATAGGCATATTCCGGCCCCGGTGACTAGATTCCGTCGTCGGTAAGCATATTCCGACCACGGTGAGCATATTCCGGCGACGATGGCATATTCCGATGACAAAATAGCATATTCCGGCGACAAAAAAGCATATTCCGGTGACCGGCGACCGATGACCGAATTTCGGCGACCAAAATTTTGGGCCGAAAATAAAAAAAATTATTTTTATTATTTATTATTATTTAATCATATTTTTCATAATGACAATTATACCCCTGCTTTCATTTTACACTAGGTCAACTCATCTAATAAAAAGTCATCACAACCCTAACTTCCTATTGGTTGGAGACTAGTGTTGTTACAATAACAACACAAGAAATGTTGTCATAATATCTAGTCCCAAACTGTACGATACGATTTGAACCACGATCCTTCTAACGATCTGATCTATTTTCCTAGCCCTACTAGAGATACTTTTGTAGTCCCTGCCCCACCCGATGACGATGTTACTCCCCACCCAATCTGCTAAGTGCTGAGTGCTATCTTATCAGTTATTAGAGAAAAATTAAAAAAATAATATCCCTTTCCATCAATTTTCTCTTTGCGACTCCATCACAGACTCATCTCTCTCACTCTCTCTCCTCTCATAGTCTCATTCTCTTCTTTCTGTCTGTCTTTCGATTTAGGGCAAAACCCTCCAACCTCGCTCACGTTTGACTCACACACAAGCTCTCAGACGATCTCCTGTTTCCGTCGCCGATCCGTCTCTCAGGTACCGCTTCCCGACTCACGAACTCGATCCCCCTTCGCCCTCCCATCAATCTTCCCCACCGGCTTCGTCGTTCTTCCTGTGTTCGATCATGGAAGTAGTTGCTCTGTGGATTGAAATGAATACGCTAAGCTATCGTCTAGGTTCTTAGGCGGAGAGGATCATTTTTTGTTGTTGCCGAACTTGCTTTTCTTCAACATCTCGCTTGGCAAAAAGTGCAATTACTGAATGAATTTGGTTGTCGCGAGACTGTAGTACTGTTCGTGGCTGTTTATTTTTCTCCTTTGTTTGGTTGTTGAGAGAATGAGGATCAAAAGGAAGGACTTATGGTGACAGTTGAGCGGTTTCCTTTCACTACTTAAAGATAAAGACCTGCTACTGTATTGATAGCGTAAAGTAGCGCGAGCGGAATTGTTGAATTCGTGTTTTGATTCTATTTTCCGTGGAGTTAGCTGGAATTATGGAGGCAATAGAAATCTTCATTCATCGGCTTGCATTGGCCTCTTCTTACATGGCTTAGTTAGATGCAGTTCAGAGTGTTTTGCTTAGTTGGGGATTAAATGTGGCTCATTTATTGTTAGTCTGCCTTCCAGCTCTTCATCTGATTGCTCTGTGTTTTCTTTCTTGGCCTTGATAGCTCGATTTTTCCGAACTGCTATCTTGCTTGTTGGATCATTTCTTGAATTTTGGTTGCCATGATATATTTTGTTTTGAGTACATTCTAGGCTGACGTCATTTATGTGTTTGCAATACCTGTGCTCGCCTTCTTCTCAGTGCCAAACTGTATCATTTGCCTACTATACCTCATCTCAAGCAACTTTGAATTGGTTCCTGGAAGCTGTACCTTATTCTGCCTATGCTATGTCCTTACTTTTGCCAGCATGGTTATTTTCTTACAAATGTGTTGTCCATTTCAGGCCTTAAGTTGAAAGCTTTCTGATAGTATTGTGGTTGCTCGCACCTCGAAACTACGAAAGGCTGCTCCTTAACGAGGAATGATTTTTCGCATGACCTGTTGACATACATCCAATGTCGGGTCTACTTAATGTATTGACATCTTTCTTTTTCAATTTTCCAAGCGTTTTGGGTCTTCTATTATAAAGCTTTAAGCTAGTAGTTGCCTGCATATGCTTATTCAGTCATCTATTTGTATGATGGGGAATTACAATGAACTGTTTCGCGCGTGTTTGGTTTTCCATTTGGGTTACTGTCATTTCATTCTTTCTTTTGGCGAGTCTAGTGTTGTATGTTATGTGGACTGAATCCCTTCTGCATGATAGAGGGTTGGCGCTTGTGGAATTTGTCATGCAATAGTATGAGTTACAGGCTCATTACTTTGGAGTACCTTTGCAAGTTCTATGTTTTCGTTCTGATTTGATCATCAAGAATTCACACCAGCAATATAGCACTTTTTAAACGTGACCAATGTTTTGATTAGTGTTGCTTCCGAGTTACACTATTCTGCATTTATTTTAAAGTAATGCACTTGGTCTTTGCTTCTGTGTTGCTATATTTTGATTCGTTTAATGTCATGATGGTATCTGCTTTTTGCTACTAGTTGGAAATAGTTACATGCTTTGGTACCCTTGTGTTGCAGTCTTCTATGAATGGTTCAGCCTCGAATCTTCCGGATAGCAGTGGGAGGTCTTTCACTTCATCTTTCTCTGGCCAGTCTGGTGCAGGATCTCCTGTGTTTCATCACTCTGGTGGGTATATTTGGCTATATATTTGGCCATTGTCCTGAACTTTATGCTAATCTAGTTTCCTTTTTTCAGGAACTATCCAGGGGCTGCACAACCTCCATGGGAGCTTTAATGTCCCCAACATGCCTGGTACTCTAACATCAAGAAACTCCACAATGAACAGTGTTCCTTCTGGTGCTGTTCAACAACCCACAGGTAGCCTTTCTAGTGGACGGTTTGCTTCCAATAATCTCCCCGTGGCCCTTTCACAGGTACTTGAATGGTTTTGGGGTGAAGCATTATGAATTATTCTTGCTTGCTTGTAATACTATTTCAAGTTTTCATATATTAAATTGAATGTCTGTACTCTGCAGTTATCTCATGGAAGTTCTCAGGGTCATTCTGGAGTAACCAATAGAGGAGGTATAAGTGTTGTAGGAAACCCTGGATATAGTAGTAACACAAATGGAGTTGGAGGTTCTATTCCTGGGATTCTCCCTACATCTGGAGCCATTGGTAACCGGAATGCTGTTCCAGGATTGGGAGTGTCCCCAATTTTGGGAAATGCAGGTCCTCGGATTACAAGTTCGATGGGTAACATGGTTGGAGGGGGCAACATTGGACGGAGCATAAACTCGGGCGGAGGATTGTCCGTACCTGGGCTCGCGTCTCGTCTAAACTTAACTGGAAATAGTGGATCTGGAAGTTTAAGTGTGCAGGGACAAAATCGACTCATGGGCGGTGTTCTTCCACAAGGTACTACTTTGTTCACTGGTTCAACTGTTGGAGTCTTTGGAATTTTTCATGTGTACTGAGTTGGACAATATTGGTTCACTTTTCAACGTATTACTGGACACATTTGAAGTGTATTCAGCTTGGTCGTTTTCTATTTAATTAACATACATGGTTTGTAGCCTTCCCTTCTCTTTTTTGGTGCTCATGTCTAAATTGTTTTGTGGAGATTGGTTCGCTTGTGTAATGTATTACTAGACATTTGAAGTGTATTCAACTTGGTCGTGTTCTATGCTTGCCTATTTAATTAACATACAGGGTTTATAGTTTTCCCTCTTCTTTTTTGGTGCTCATGTCTAAATTATTCCTTGAATTGCTTGTATCATTAGATGATTTCCTCTTCCGTCATCTTTGCTGTCATCTCGTTATCAATGTACTTGATGAAGTTGCTGCAGTCATTTTTTTACTATCATCTAGTACCGATCAATAATTACTTTGTTAGCTTATATTCCCTTGTCTTGATCATGTTTCTGTTCTGTGCAGGATCTCCTCAGGTGATGTCTATGTTAGGAAACTCCTATCCTAGTGGTGGTGGGCCACTTTCACAAAGTCATGTCCAAGCTGTTAACAACCTTAGTTCTATGGGAATGCTGGGTGATGTAAACCCCAATGACAGCTCGCCTTTCGACATAAACAATGATTTCCCGCAATTGACAAGTCGACCTAATTCTGCAGGGGGGCCTCAAGGACAACTGGGTAAGAATAAAATGTGTTCTTCCAATGTGTTGTTGTCTCGCTCTTGTAGCTTAACCCTCTTGGTGTAGAAGATGATTTATGAAGCATATTATTCCAGGTTCTCTGCGGAAGCAAGGTCTCGGAGTAAGCCCCATCGTTCAGCAAAACCAAGAGTTCAGTATACAAAATGAAGACTTCCCAGCATTACCTGGATTTAAAGGTGTTGACAATATTTTTCCTATGAATAATGCATAAGCGGTTGCTGCATAATAGCAAACTCTGCATTTTAGTTGCTTGTACTGGCCTTGGCTATGTGTCTTTCTTGTTCCATTTTTTCCCGAGATTCTAGATCAAAGGAATTCTCTTATGTGGTGTGATTTAGTGGAACTATCCAGCTCATCTGCAGAAATGTGTTCTTGGAAATCTTCCAGAGAAAGTTCTTGTGCATATATGTTTGTGTTTATTTGTAAATATGATATGGTTATCTGCCAAAATACTCTTGGTTGAAGTTCATCGAACAAAAAGGATTGCAATATTACTTTATTTAATAGCTGGCATCTTTATGCGTTCCAAGAAGCAATGACATGCTCCCTTGTGTAGTAACCCATTCGTAATTATTTTCTTCTGCAACCTTTTGGCTTACCATAATTGCTAGATTTTGTTCAGGTGGGAATGCTGAATATGGGATGGATATGCACCAGAAAGAACAATTGCATGACAGTACTATGTCCATGATGCAGTCTCAGCACTTCTCCGTAAGTTGTTTGTGAGAGTGCTGTGGGTACTTTCTTTTATCTGCTTCATCTGATACGCTTATGCTGCGCTGCAGATGGGGAGATCCGCTGGGTTCAATATAGGGGGGACATACTCTTCATATCGTCCACAGCAACAGCAGCAACATGCCCCAGCTGTCAGTAGCAGTGGTGTTTCCTTCCCGTCTGTGAACAATCAGGATCTGCTTCATGGTTCAGATATATTTCCATCTTCACATTCAAACTACCACTCACAGGTATATTGTATGGAAGGGTTCTGCTTTGTTTGTGCAAGTTGATTGAATGAACTGTCCAAAGAAAGTCCATTCTTAAAATTATGGGATTAGCACGTTGCCCGGTGAGGAGTTGTATCTGGTGTCCTGTCCCCCCTTGGAAATGCAAAATGTCAGCAACTTCTATGGACTTGTGTGTCCTGCCAGTGCTGTTTTGCGCTCTTTCTGAGAAGTTTACCCTGACCCATTTATTCTCCTATTTCCTTCAGAACAATGGCCCACCTGGTATTGGACTGAAACCTCTAAATTCTGCGAATCCTGTATCTGGCATTGGATCATACGATCTTATTCAGCAGTATCATAATCACCAAAGCCAGTCACAGTTTAGACTGCAGCAAATGTCAGGCGTGAATCAGTCATTCAGAGATCCAGTTATAAAATCCATGCAAACGCAACCAGTTGCTGAAAAGTTTGGGTTACTTGGCTTGCTAAGTGTTATACGAATGAGTAATCCTGATCTGACGTCTTTGGCACTTGGAATTGACTTGACGACTCTGGGATTGAATCTCAATTCAACAGAAAATCTTCATAAAACATTCGGCTCTCCATGGTCTGATGAGCCAGCCAAGGGTGATCCTGAGTTCAGCGTGCCTCAATGTTATCATGCCAAACAACCACCTGTTTTACATGTAAGCTGTTATGTCCCTTTTTATTGAATTTTTCCATGGTTCTCTTCCTGGGTTTGTATAACATGGGCATCTATTTTTCATTTTTTCTCATTATTTTAACCCTGGAGCTATTCTGGTGTGCTTTTGCTGGTGTTTACAGCAAGGGTACTTCTCAAAGTTCACGGTAGAAACATTGTTTTACATATTCTACAGGTGAATTTTTGACTTTCTGGCTTTGTCTCTTTTCTGTCGCTGCCAACATTCATGTTCTGACTGCCTTCTATGCATTCCCTCCTTTATTTCAGCATGCCGAAAGATGAAGCTCAACTATATGCTGCCAATGAACTGTAAGAAAACAATTGCATCAACCCAAGTTCATCATTTTATATTCTTACTTTAGTTCTATTTTCACAGTAATGATCTTTGTTTGGTCATTTGCTGTATTGGTACTTATCAGTGAATTTTTATTTCATGTAATCCTGGATGTTTTGATGGGAGTGCGATGGTTGGAACCTGAAATCAGTCGGACATCCTGCATTCCTCTATTTGTAGTGTCATAAAGGAGATTAGTTCATTGTATCATTAGAGCATACTAATCAGATCCGTTGGTGGTTATGTTCTCGGCTTCTGATTATTTGTATTTATATTTGGCAGATATAATAGAGGTTGGATCTATCACAAAGAGCAACGGTTATGGTTAATAAGAGTCCCCAACGTGGAACCACTGGTTAAGACGCCTACCTACGAGAGAGGCTCGTATCACTGTTTTGACCCCAACACGTTTGAAATCATCCGGAAGGTTTGGACCAACATTCCTGCTGCAACAGTTTCCTTTTTATATGTTCTTTGCTTCTATTTGATGCTGTTGATTGCTGATTGTGTGATAATTTTGGGTGCAGGATAATTTTGTATTGAATTATGACTCAGTGGAGAAGAGACCAGGTCTGCCTCAACATTAACTGCAGGGCATTTCTTTGCTAGTTGTAGATTGTAAAGTTCAGCCAGTCATGGGTCTCGGATTGATATTCTTCATTAGGAGGCGCGGCTGTCAGCTTCAGTTTTAATGTTGCTCGAGTTCGGCAGTAACTTGTATTTTGTCAATCTTTGCTCTTAGTAGCCTGACCGGCGACCAGCTTCAGTTAGTTCCAGTAAATATTTCCGATGACATTTTAATCGGCTTCAATGATAAGACCGTTTGATCGCAATAAGCCCCATCGCTGTCGTGGAAGCTGCTCTTGATGTTGATAGAGAATTAGGCTATGAATATGATTGGTATCAGGATGTCATAATGCGCTAACGGTCGTGACTCGTGCGTGCATCAATCCATGGCTGTTTGATACCGCTAAGGGTGTGGTAGCTCAACGGCCACATTCTTGATTCAGCAAGAGTTTTCAACAAGTTGCAATCTTGTAAAGTGTAGTCAATATGGTGGCCGGACGTGGGATTCCAATTCCGTCCTGGGTCAGAAATCTCAATGGCAATCTGAGGTGGAAGCCTTGATTCTGCCACAATACTGCACGTCAAATGTGGGTGGCGGCAGGTGACAAAGAAAGCTCTTTCACGTCAAAAGAGGGCAACCTGGTTAATCTGCTAACTGGTCATTTTGTTAGTATATACTAACTGATATCCAATAGTGTATGAACTAATATCCAAGTCTTTGTGAACTAAATAATTCGGGTAGTTGATCGGTTTGGGCTCTAATAACATGTTTTTCGTTACTTTCTTATATTTTTATAAATGTCTTATTGGTTTAGTAATCTTTGTTTTATTTTATTTAGGCTAGTTATTATATCAGTAATTAATTCGGTTTTAGAGATAGCTTCTTCTAATGTTTCTGTGATTCCAATACTCATTTGTTCCTCTACGATTTCTGAAGCAAAATAAGTTAGTTCTTGTGTGACCGTATTGATATAATTTATTGAAGTGAGATTTATAGCATCTATTCCTTCAATTAATTTATTTATATGATAATTAGTAGGCATGTTTTAGATTTTATTCTCTAGATTTGCGATTGAATGTTGCAATTTTTCCCACTTATTTATTACTTGATTATTGGTTATCTCTTCAATTAATTTATTTACTTGATTATTGGTTATCTCTTCTTGTTCTAAATTTTGTTCAATTACTGGGATATGCCTAATTCTCTCTGATTGTGTTTTAATTAATCGTCTTTGATCTTGGGTTATTGATGGTCGACTAGGTTCTATTCTAACAGTTTTTAATGGTGCTTCTAGTTGAATTAAAGGTTTAAATAAATCTTCTATAGTAATTACTTCCTTATTTTTAAAGGTTAAGCTGTGGTGACTATTTGTTAATGCATAGTTTATTTGATAAGTTACTGAAAATGGTTTGCTATTCTCTTTCATAAAATTTTCTCTTTTTAATTCGTATTTTATAATGATAGAAGAGTCAAGATTACCATCTGCCAGGCTTAATCCTTGTTGCAGGTTAATGTCGAATTTAATTATTCCTACTCCTAAATTTCCCGTTCCTTTAGCAATAATACTTTCTTCTTCGTTTAGGAGCCTATCATCACGAATTTCTAATTCCATGGGTGCGTCAATTCCTATTTTCATGGTTGATTTTAATATAATTTGAATTGTACTAATATGAATATAAGCTATTTTATTTCGTTCTTCTGGTCTTAGTTTAGCTAATCTTTTTCTGATTTGTTCTTTATTTATTACTTGGATTAGGAAATCACCCTTAGTTTGATCAATAGGGACTGCTACTTCACCTATCATTTTACCATATTTAATAATGTTTTCTCTATCGAAGAGCTTTGATAAAAAAGACTTAGTGATAAAGTTCTGAGTTTCTGAAATAGTAAAATTAGTTTTTTCTCTAATTTTCTTAATGTCTATAACACCATCTAAGAAGTAGTTTTCATTATCATTTTTGTTTAAATAGTCAAAATAACTTGAGGTAGGATTATCAGACATACCTGACTTGCTCTTCTGATGAAATTCTGAGCCTTTTGATGATCGCTTGATGATTGTAGCTTCTTTCCGTGCGTTTGATTATATTGAAAATGATTGTGGCCTCCAGGATCAGTGGATCCAAGCCTTACAACTAGCTAGCTGACTTGCTCTTCTGATGAAATTCTGAGCCTTTTGATGATCGCTTGATGATTGTAGCTTCTTTCCGTGCGTTTGATTATATTGAAAATGATTGTGGCCTCCAGGATCAGTGGATCCAAGCCTTACAACTAGCTAGCTAGAGGGAGAGAGTAAACAGGCAATTTTTATGGCCAAACTCGTTCTTCCTTATTTCATTGCAAACTCTTGCTCTTATATAGAGCTGAGGGGAGATACAAAGACGTCATTGCTTACGTTTGTGCAACAGGGACGTAAAGCTAATGCGTTAAAAGAAAACGTGTGAAACGATAAGAAAGCTGATAAAATACAATAATGCACGACTTTTTTAAAGGAGTCGGCCAACCTTCTTTTGTCGCTTTATTCCATGTTTGATTCCTTTTTCTTCACATGCTTCTGTCAGTCTTGGTCTGCTGGTCCACTGATGTCTTCATCAGTTGCTGCACACCACTCACAGAGATGGTCTTCATAGATAGTAAGCTCATTGCATAACTGTTTCTTGATTTGAATGGGAAGGGCTGACAGATTCCCATTAATTTCCGTGAATTCCTTAATTTTATATGTTATGATTGCCCATTCTTCTTTGGTCATGTTTCCTCTTGTTTTGCTGGTGATGATGGCATCGGGGCTGCTGTAATTGACTTAAATCTGGCTTTCCGGTTCAATTTTGGTTAAAGCTCTGCATACTGCAAGAAGACCCTTTACTTGGTAGTCTGGGTTCTTCTCATAGTCTCGTAGGTCATCTCTGGTAGGGTAATCATGGTTTGATACTCCCATGAGGATCACTGCCTTTGATCCGATCAGTAGTTTGTCTTGATCGAATACGGGGTAGCTGCTTGTATACTTGAGAAATATTTCTCTTTCCTTGGCGAATAGCTCGAGATATCTTCTGATTACGTTCCTCATTCTTTGTGGGAAGTATTCAAATACCTTCATGGTTGTAGTGTAGATAGTGTCGATTAATCCATATTGATGGAACTCAAAAGAGAGTTCTGGTGATGCTTCTTCTGTGATTACTGCTTTGGGTCCTCCTCGACTGACGGGGTAGAAACCCATGGTCGTGTGTTTTTCTTCATAGTTGATTATCATATCCCAGTTGGATATGAACTTCTGAAAGATTGGTTTTAATTGCTCTTCTTTTTCCTTGATGGTTAGGATGCTTTTGATACTGGGTATCTTCATGACGAGTTTCTGCGATTGTTGCTCTTGATTCATGAGTGGTTCTTTCATTGCCATCATCTTGTATGATTGTCTGTATGCTTCGTCGGCTGCTTCTTTTGTTTTAAATGATTGATGTTGGACTGGTTTGCCGTTGATGTGCTGGCTAGCGATGGCCCAGTTATGATATACTCCTCGGTATGGTCCATTGAATATGACATACCATTTGATGCTTTTTCTGTCGTCTTCTTCGTAGTGGGAATCTTTTGTTTCTTTTTCTTCTTGTTCAACGATATCTGCCTATCGTGTCGTCTTTTGTATATTATTGATAGTAGTGGTGGATGATTGTATTGCTGTCGATTTTTCAGCATGTTCTGTGGTCAGTGTTGATGGCTTTCCACTAGTGGAGCTAGTTGTTAATGTACTGGCGTCGATGTAGTTGATTTTTAACTGTTGCTGAATGACGTCGATTGATTGAATTATTGCTTCTTCCTCCCCCTGCAAAGGAGAAGCTGTTGTTCTAGTGCTGCACTCTTTTCCTGCTTCTGCTTTAGTTGATTGATGAGGGTTTTTATGAATCCTTCCATTCTCGAGTCAGTGTGTCTGTGAATGGATTGTTGCTGGACTTGATATATTTCAGGTAAGGATTGTAATAATGGAGTTGTTGCTGCCACCTGTTTAATCTTCCTTTGTTGAAATCTGCCTGAAGCTTGTACCTCCAAAAACCTGTTACATATTTAGAGTCGGTTTGAAGTTCAAACCTTGTAGATAATAATTCAACCTTCCATTTTTTCAATGTTCTGAGACAGGCTAGTGTCTCTAATTCGTGGATCGGATAGTTCTGTTCAGTGGCGGTAAACGTTCCAGAAATATATTTACATAATTTCTTAGAATATTTATCACTGTTGAAAGGAACTGATGATTGAGAACTTGAAAGTTCAATAATATTGTCCGAAGACTGATAATCTTTAGGCTCTTGGCCAGAGACAGTAGCCTCGTTATTGTCTATTTTGACATTACCAAAATTGTCCATTTGTAATAATTCCTTACCATTTTGTATTGCTAACATACACCCTGCCCAAGTGTCCTTAGAGGCATCCGTTTGAATTATTAGAAAATCGTTTTCACAAGGGTTATATAATTTTGGTAAATGCTAACATTTTTCCTTCATTAATAAAACTATTTTTGTATCTTGATCATTCCATGACCAAGGGATTTTGTCAGAAATCTTTTTCTGTAAATGTTTTCTTTCTTTTGCTAAATCTTTTAAAAATCCTTGTTCGCTTATATAATTTAAGCATCCAAGAAAACGTTGAATTTGTTTTCTATTTTCAAGTTGGTTTGGGAATTTATCGATTTTTTCTTTAGTGTTTGGTGATAACTCAATTTCACCCAAATTATTAATCTTCATACAAAGATATTCAATTTCTCTTTGAAGAAGTTTTGATTTCTTCTTAGAGATAATTGGACCTTTTTCTTTTATTCTCTGTAAAACTATCAAGATTTTTTCACGATGGTCTTCTTCTGATTGATTTGTGAAAATAATAATATCATCAATGTATGCCAAACAGAACGATTGAAAACCTTCTAATACATGATCCATAAACCGTTGGTAAATAGCTGGTGCTTGTTTCATTCCAAATGGGAGAACATTCCATTCGTAATGTTTTTGTGGTGGACATGAAAAGGCTGTCAAAGGTTTGGTATTCTCATGTAGACGAAGTTGCCAATATCCAGATTTAGCATCTAAACTACTAAACCACGTTTGACCTTTTAATCTTTCTAATATATAGTCTTTCCTAGGTAGTTTATAGCTATCTCCTATTGTTTGTTCGTTTAGTTTTTTATAGTTTATTACCATTCTTCTTTTTCCTCTTTTGATTTCATTATTATTTTCTACATAAAAGGCTGGTGCACTGTGAGGACTTTTACTTTCTCGTATTATTCCTTTTTCAGCTAACTCTGAACATTCCTTTTGGAATTCTTCTACATCTCGTTGAGTATATTGAATTTTGTTAGGGACATTAACTTCCATTTTAGGATCTTTTAGTTTAATTTCGATAAGTTCTTGATTGGTATTTTTATCTTTATCTAAAGGATGTTCACTACACACCTGGTCTAAAGTATCCTCTAGAATGCTATAAGTAATCTGTATATATTGTAGTCTATTTTTGAGGTTTTGAAGCACAATTTTTAGCACTTCATTTTTTGTGATTATTCTTGTTGTGATTATCTTAGATTCCTGGTCTATTGTTTTAGGACATCTAAGGCTGATTGTTCTAATCCTTTGGATAAATGGTTGATATAATTTTAGAAAGTTATTTCCTATTATTATATCTAGTCCTGAGTCATGTTGATAGATTGTTTTAGCTGTGAAGATATGTTTTTCAATGATTATTGGTACATATTAAGTTTTACATACCAAATTTCATGGATAGATTTGTCTGCCACTATAATTTTTAAAGGTTTTTCAAGTTTATCCCATTTTTTTATGGTTGATTTTTTGGCAAAACATCAGGTTGCCCCTGTATCAATATATGCTAAGAAGCTTTTCTTCTCTATTTCTATT